ATCTTTCCAAATGAATGAATAGCCAAGACAAAAATGCCTACAAGTGTATATGTTTGACTCTGTTATGAACTTAGCAAACCTTGAAGCTTTTCAGGTTGTTTCCTAGCTTATGAGGAGCTAGAAAAAGCAATAAAGGTTTGAAATCAGATCGTGCACCCCTGTAATGCAAGTGCTGGAATCCAATACAGCTCTGATCTATATGTAAAAAAGGGATTGTGTATACTATAAAATGTGGTGTCTGCAAACCAAATGCCTTCATGACCACAATTACCTGTGGGGTTACATTTTCCTGTTACAGTATTGATAAAACTAGTAAATGTATTTGCTGTTAATAACAATAAAAACAGTCAGAGTTTAGCATTTACAACCCTGAAAACTCAGCAGAGTTAGTAACTAAATTTGGGGATTAAGGGGTACCTTTTGAAGTCAGAAAACCTCCAGGGCTCATTGTTAATGAATCTCTGCTAATAGAGGACATCCCTGGGGCTGTTTATTATTTTTATGATTTCCTGTCCTCTCTCACACACAACCCACCTCAATTTCAACCCTTCTAGCTTGTGGAGTGCATTAAAAGAAGCATTCATCTGCTTCTGTGCACATGAAATTTAGGGAAGATTGTTACGGTTACCCAATTTCTTTTCATAATTGTATGTGTGAAACTGGAAATATTGTTCACCAGACCCTTCCCTATGACATATATAACCCCACTGTGTATAAGGAAGCCCCATTAATTTTGTTGGGACTTACCCTTGGGGAAGTGAACATAGATTGCAACCTGTACAGCATATCCTCAGTTCAATGGCTCTCAGTTTAATAGGCTTTAGATACAATGGAAAATGGTTTCCTTCCTTCAAAATGGTGGCTTTGCTGCAAATGATTACACTCACATCAACTCTAATACTCTGCAAATTACCTAAACTGATGCAGATGACACCAGTTCAGGTATCAACAGCCACTGCTTCCCCTCAAATGGTCTATTAAATCAAGGTTTTACTGTACTTTCAAAATGTGGAAAATCTAGAGATTAAAATGTAAAGAGGATACAGTATATGCAAAGATGGAGCGTCAGAAAACAAACACTGAAAATGTTTAAAATATATTGTACAAATGATAGCTCATTTCTATGGAAAAAAAAAAAAAAAGAATGTTAATACGATGCCTCAGATTCATGATCCAATGCAGAGAGAGGCTGGTTGCTGGTATTAACAAGCTGGTTCCATATGGATATGAAGTTCGAAAGACAGTGTCCGATACGCTGGAGCCTGAAGGAGGATATCTGGCCAACACTGTGCTAAATCATAAAAAAGAATACTAGACCTCTCCCAACCTGAACCTTAAGGTTTTATTCACTGATGTCTTCCCTGCAACCCCCAAATTCAAATTGTGCTTCACGAAAAGAAGATCTTGGCATTACGACAAGTGTTGCCTCACAATCTTCAACAAAGATTCAGACCGACCCACAGCTGCTAGGTTCTTACAAAGTTAGCCGACTGTTCAAGCGCAGGCAGTGGTGGTTCAATCCATTTCTGAAAGCAACATATACATGTGTCACAATGTGTTCTACAGTCCTGGATGAATTAGCAAGCAAAGGGGCCAAGAGAGAGAACTGGGGGGGGAAGTCACTGTGACCTCAACTGCTCTGAGAAAAAAAAAAGAGTTTTTATGGAGAATTGTGCTTTAAAACCAAGGTGTCATATTATGGAGGGGTTGGCTAAAAAGTTGCTTTTTCTCAACTGTGTTTTTGAACTTTTGCATATACGTTCATGCATGTTAATCCCTGCTTTTGATTTTTGCTTCACACTTTTCCATTTCCAGACCCCAAAAATCTGCAGTTCTCCTAACTACTGCACCATTTTTACTTTGTCCATTTTGAATTCAGCTCCTGAACCCTAATCAGTCCTCTCTCTATACACTAAGATTTATCTTAAAACCCACCATTGCCATTACATCTCTAGCTGAATTCCCTAACTATTCACCCATACATATTCATGTCACCCCAGATTCTTTTTTTCTTCCTTCTTTACTGTCTCCCCCATAGTTGAAAGTTCAATTGTCAGAAAATGCAATTATAATCTGTAATATATAAATTAAGAATTAACGATCAAATGGTCTATGGGCAGAATTTACTGATTTATAGTCTCTATTCAGACATTCTTGTCACATGAGCAATCATATGGAAAGACAGAATGAACCTCTGATCACTAAACTCCAGGGTTTTCCTGACCCTCCCAACCATTCAAGGAGGGAGAAGAAGCATCATGCTGCCTGGGAAATTCTGGGAGTTGAAGTCCACACATCTTAAAGTCGCCAAGGTTGAGAAACACTGATCTATAGAATGGGATTCTCCACACTTTGGGGACCAGTAGGCACATTTGACATGTTGAAAGCATACTACGGACTTTCAAATAAACTGCCTGTCACAGTGGATGTGACCAGTTACAGACCAGTTACATCAAAAGACAACTGATGAGTTTGTTCCCTGACATCCATTCTTCCCTTCCTCAGGATACTCAAAGTTTGCTTTTGTCTTTTTGAAGCAGAGGTTGGCACACTTCCAAGGGCTAGGCTGTTCTCATCAAACAGTTTTATTTTCTAAGAAAGCTTAATAGAATCCAAGGGCATTCTTGGAAATAAAAATGATCCTAGAGGCATGCCAGCTTTCTCTTTATTTTTTCTTAAAAAAATAAAATAATCTTTTTTTTAAAAAAATTAAAAATAGAGTGGGGCAGAGGGTCTGATGAGTGATAAAAGGAGATGAGAATAGGTACAAAGGAGAACACTGTCTCTAATGCAAAGCTCTTCCTCCCTGTGTTGAAGCCTGATTATTCACACTTCTGCATTGGGGGAATTTGTATGCACATAACAGGAGCCTATTTACAAATGTTGCCTTACCCAACACACTTATAGCTAGAATGAAGGGATGGCTGGGCCAGTGCAATTGTTAAATATGCAAAGGGAATGCCCAAACAGAACTCTAAATCAGTATCAAGGAAACAATGGGTAATCAAACAATAGAAATTGTTCTTTAGATTTCCATCTAAACTATAATCAGTCAAAAATTAGGATTTCAAATAATCCCAATTGGACACAAATGACCATGGCATTATTATAGGAAGGGAATAACTTCTATTTCCCTCCACTCAGCATGATAGAAAACAATCACAAACCATGTAAAGAAAGCAATGCATTAAGATAGCTTAGGATCCCTTTCTCAATCTTCTTTCTCATCATTCCTGTTAACAAAAACGTTAGTGAAAAATGCAAAACTACTCACCAGAATGTATTGCAGGCAGATGACTATCTGCATCTCCAAATTCTGAGCTTCCATCTTGACCTCCAGGTTCCCAAGATTCACTGTTCTCAGAAATTTCAGAAAAAGTATCAAAAGTTCCTTTCTGACTGTTGGCTGGGTCACCAACACTTGAGGACTGACCATCGCTACCTGCATCCGATACTGCCTTGCTTTCTTCCCCTAGCCTTTCAGCAAACCACAATCTAACCTGCGAGGTGGTCATCTGAGTTCTTTCACAGAGATCCAGGAGATCATCTTCATACAGAACTTTGTTCTTTTGAAAATAGTCTTGGAGGATTTCCTGGCTGACCTCACTGGAAATCGAGAGGCCTTTAGGAAAAATACCTTTCTTGTAGTTTTCATACCACCTCAGATTTCCATTTTTTAAGCCATAGCGGCTATCTCCAAACCAGCGAATTACTTCAACCCTGGGAAGTCCAGTCTGACAACATATTTGGTCATACTGTTCATTGGTAGGACGTTGCGTCTTTATAAAGAGCTGTTTAAGCAAATGCCTCTGCTGAGCAGTCTTTTTAAAGCTTAGCCTGGGTTTCTGTGCCCTGCTAGGAGAATTCTCTCTTATTGCATGGGCACCCAAAGCTGCCAACTCACTTTTCCCATTTGATTCTGTCACCTTAAAGTTTCTAAGGTTGATTTTTATTGGGGTCACTTTACGTTCACCTGGAATTTGAGAGCTCCCAGCTGCATCCAAGGAACCATTTTCACCTGACACTCTCAAATCATCCAAATCATCTTCCTCTTCTATAGACTCATCTTCAGCATCCTCATCTGCTGGTTGTTTTGTTTCTTTGATCACTTGTCTTTTCCTTTGCTCTGAGAACCAGCTGTCAATCTCTCTCCTTGTCATTTTAGTTTCACTTCTCAGACGGTCTACTTCCTCCTCTAAAGGGAAGGGGTTTTGTGCAAAGCTGCTTTCCAAAGCTCTGAGTTGTTCCGGGGCCCTCTCTTTATATTTTGCAGTGGAGAAATCAGGGGCCTGATGCCAGGATTGCCGACGTGCTGGTGTGTGAACAGGTGTTGCTGCTGATGTGGAAGTTAACTCCATGGTTGTTTTTGGTGAAGTGGTAAAGGTGATTTCAGGAACAGAATCTATTATTATTGTACTATCCCCACCAAGCACAGGTTTGCTGCCTCTTACATTTCTACAGTGATATCTCCTATCACTAAACCACTTTCGAACATCCCTGGTGCTAAGTCCTGTGATTTTTGTCAGACGCTCAACTTCAGTTTGGCCAGGGAACTGATTCCTACAGAAACTATCTTTAAGTGCAGACAACTGTTCATAAGACTTCTTATTTTTGAATAAGTTAGGATCTAAGAATGCTTGTGAAGAGATGTTTGGGCAAGCAGAAAGTTGTGACTGAGCAGCACTAACTACATTCACAGTCGGTGCAATACTGGAAACTGACACAGTGGTTGGTGGTTTAGCTATCTGGGTCTTTGGAATGGATGTTACAGCTATTGCATGAGATGAGGTTGTTCCCTGAAGTCCATTTGTTATTATTGGTTGGGTGACCAGCATACCACTTGCTCCTTCAGGTTTCCCAACTGAATGGCCAGGCAAACTGGCCTGAATGAGATGCTGAACACTACTAGGGCTTGCAACTAAGGGTGTATTCAACACCGTAATAGTGGATTGGGGAACAGACTGAATCACAGTGTTAAACATTTTCTTCCGTGCATCTTCTATCTCCTCAGGTGACCAGCTGATACCCTGTTTCAACCTCTGGGCTGTAAACCAGATTTTCAGCTGCTCTTCTGGATACTTGGTCACAACAGTCAAATAGCAAAGTTCAGCTTTGGTAGGGTAGGGAAACTTATGAAAAGAGTTTTTAAGAAAACTGTTAGAATCCATTGCTGCATTGTAAGTTGGAATACTACTCAAGGGAATCATTACCTTAGGAAGGGATTTTGATGTTGGTAGGTGCTGGTGAACTTGTGCTTGCTGTTGCAGTTGCACAAGTTGGGTTATGCCTGCTTGCAGAACAGGTACATTTCCAACTACTGAACCATTGATAACAGGGGTTAATTTGACAGATTGGCTAACTGGCACTGCTCCATTGGTGAATGACAGTTCACCTTTTGTCTCTACATCCTTGACTGATTTACTAGATACATTTTCTTTTAGTGTGTGGATTTTTTTAACTTCTGGTTTTGTTCTCATTATCTTCATAATGGGCATTTTAGTAATAATAATTTCAGCTTGACTATCCTGACCTTCCTCAGGGGTATCCCCCAAGTGGTCCTGACTACCACTGCTGGTGTTTCCAGTAGTCTGCTCCACAATCATGTGATCAGCTTGTTTCACAACATTCCAGCTTAAGTTCGTTTCTCCAGCATGGTGCTCCGCATTGTGACGAGAAAGATCATTGTGGTTCTTTACCAAGAAACTGCATTTCACACACAAAAAGGAGGGGTCTTTACTAAAATCTGTGTGCTCAGAATCAAGGTGACTAAGGAACTGATTAACTTCTTGAGTGGTGAAATCGCAACATGTACATCTATAAGAAGTGCTATCTAGAATTCCATTATGTCCATTGGACAAGGTCTCACTACTGTGATTATTAATAGTGGTATCACAATTAGGCAGAGTGACGGGAACAACTCCTTTATGAGCTTCTTCATGATTTACTCCGACAGAAGCTGATACTGATTTCTGTGGTGCCAACATTTTTGCCGGTATCATGCAAGGTGTTGTGGATTTCCTTTTGCTGGCCATTATTGCAACCAGTGGGTATAATCAAAGCTTGGGAGGCAAATACTATTTTTTAAGAACAGTTTGCAGAGTAAATTTGAGCAAATCCATGATGCCCAGACAAATGTATGTCAAGAATTGGAACAACCACTTGAGTCTGCCATTGAATCTAAGAAAACAAAGGAACAGCATATTAACCAAAGACTACTAAATCCTCATTCCAGCATAATCACATAGCTTTTATTTCTCAATCATATATGAAGATATAGAATCAACTTTGCTTTTCTAGAATTCAAACTAGAACCAGATGCAAAAAAATGCCAAACCAAATGCAAATGATGATGCACTAATATCCTCCATGATCAATACTCTAGTTTACTTTGCTTTTCTAGAATTCAAACTAGAACCAGATGCAAAAAAATGCCAAACCAAATGCAAATGATGATGCACTAATATCCTCCATGATCAATACTCTAGTTTGCAGGCATTGTTTGTACATCAGCATTCGGTAATCTTTCAGACTTTGTTGACCTTCAATTCTCATCAGGCCCAGCCAGCATGATCAGTGGTAATCCAACATCTAAAGGGAAATTGATTTCTACCCATGCAACACTTTAGTAAAAGAAGCAGTACGTTACCTTTATAAAGAGCAGAGTTAGAACATTACTGTAGTTTGGAAAAGGTTTATACTGTTGGCTTACTTTAGCTCTTCTGTGTGGAGCCCTGTCGTGAAGCAGTCCAGACTACCAGATGCATCTGACATGACCACAGACTTCCTCAAAGCACATTCCTCTGCCTCAAGCAGGATCCTCCTAAGGAAGGATGCTTACCTTAGCACATAGCAGAAGGAGATTCCTCCAGCCCCTCCCCTTCTATAGAGGAAAAACCTTTACCTTTCAAAATCCAGGAAAGAAGCAATGCACCAGAACTAGGAATGGAACTAAGAAATGTTGCTCCTGAGCCTCTAATTAACTTTCAATCTACAAGAATCTGAAAGATCCAGAAAGGCAAGCAAGAAATGTTTGCTGCAGCAATCTATTTATTTCCAGGGAACAGGTATTCAGTTGGAGCTAGAAATATTGCATAAGATTAATTTTATTTTGGAACATATATGGGTAGGTTTTATGGTCTCTGCTATCTATTGTTCCTGCTGTATATTTTCCCCATGGATGCTCAGCGAATGTGTGTCTTAGGTAACAGACCAATACTATATTACATATTACTATATATCTGCTCAGAACTGTAGGTTTTTCCATTGGAGATTCTCCTGAGGCCCTGTCTATGATTCTCACTGCCCTCTGTTTTTGTCTCCTCCAGGGCTGATTCTTTTGCACATGACTGAAGTTAAAAAGGAATGTTTACCTTTCTGTTTTCCTCTTTTTAAAAAAATGCAGTTAATTTTGTCTATACTTTATGAGATTGCTCGTAAAAGAAGGCAGGCTGTTTTCCTCATGCCACAGGACCAGATGGTGGCACTATAGAAATTATTTCACTTTTGTTAGTTATTTTTCTTCCCTTGCCAGTAAGGCAAAGGTAAAGTGCATAGGCTGTTAGTGCCCCATTTAGCTCAAATACCAGGAGTAGCGGATGGATGCCAGGCAAAAGCATCCCCCAGAAGATATGTGGTAGCAGCAATAACTACAAAGCTACCTCAAGGCACAAGGCAGAACCACAGTTGACCCAGAGGGCTTCTGGCAGTGGAGGCTTAAAACTATTTAGTGATCCACAACTGGGGAGGGGGAAACTGTAGACTGCATGAAAGGGACCCCCCGTATACAAAAGTGAGTGGGAGCAAAAGAAAGAAAAAAGTAAACAAAGAAAAAATAAAGCTAATTTAGCTCCAATTAAAATGGAAAGGAATACAGTTAATATAATTACTCACCATCTATTTAATTTTGTCCTTCCTGTCACATTATAAATGACAATTCAGAGGCAAGCTTTGTAGAGGCCACAGGCTGTGTATCTCTGCTTCAAATGCTGTTCTAACCAGTGTGCAGCTGCTTTGCCTTAAAAAAATTCCCATTTGACTTGGACAAACAGTATTGAAATCTAACTGCTGTTTTATTCAGAATCCGAACAAAACATCAGCCGCCGTCATCTGGCTTTCCCAAATTTAAGACAGAGTCTCTCTGAGCCTTACTTATTAAGCTCCTGTAACTTGAAATGAACCCAGAAACCAAATGGTACATGGCTAAATTTCAACAAGATCTACTCTTTATAGCTGGCAGGCCATTTATTTATTTAATTTATAGGCCATCTGACTCCCAAATGGCTTTGGGAGGCTTCCAACTAAGAACCAGCATCTCTCTCTCTCTCTCTCTCTCTCTCGCTCAATAAATAAATAAATAAAACCACAATTTCTCAGTGGGGCGGTCTAATGTACCATTTAAAAGAGCCCTAGAATGCAAACAGGAAGGGAGTTTTTTTTTTTTTTTTAAACTTAATTATATATCTGGTAAACTGGGATTACTGCTTTAATGAACATTCCTTAAGTTCATTAGTCTTCTCACAGAAGCTGGACTCCCACAATTAAAAATAATGACTGGTGTGTCATCTATAAACCAAACACAAGGGAAACTTAAGTTTCATGCAGTTAAATTACCAAAAGAGGGCACATTTAATCTGAAATCTTTTAACAACCCGACCTTATTCCCTCAGAGTTAATATTTGCTTGGCCCTTGCATGTAAAGTTAGCTTGAATTGAAGCACAGGGACAACACATCAGACAAAGTGTAATCGAAAGGACTGTTTGTACATTTCTGTTTCCCCTGGAACAGTTATATAATCACAGTCAAAAACCTGGCACAGCCTTGCATTTGCAACTTGAGTTGTGTTCTGATCAGACCAATCATCACTGAATGTTTTTGATTACCAGACAGATGGAGCTTCTGAATTTGCACAGTTGCAAGAGAACTAAGGAACTGAAAACAATATTACAGTTTCACACCAGAACAGACTACAGTTACTAAAACGTAGAACTGATTCACTCTAATATGACAACATGAAGTTGCTATACAACAAGGAGACTACTGGTTTGTCTAACTTTAGTGTGATGAATCTGAGGAACACAGGGCTGGAAGAGGCTATTTACAACATCACCCATCTTCTCAGTACAGTGATTAGAGTGTTGGACAAGAATTGCTCAAGACCCAGGTTCAAATCCAACTCAGCCAGGAAGCTCAGTGGGTGGCTTGGGCTGCATGTATATACTATTCTTCATTGAATTGTCTTTATTTGCTTGATTTTGTATTCTTGTACACTGCCTTGACAACTAAGAAGACTGCTTTAAATATTTTAAATAAAATCATTGACTAGGCTCTTCAATCCTCCAGTATACACATCTGTGCCAAATACACACAAACATGCAAAATTGCTCCTCACCCTATTTGTGTCATTTTGCATACCACACAATTCTCACATATAAGATACACTATTGCTTAACCTTATTTCAAGCAATATAATTTTTTAATTGAAAGTTTCAGTAAAAGTTCCATCTAATGGTACTTCTCTTTAGCAAATGTTAAAGATAGTACAGTACTTGTGTTTTAGTATTCATGTTTTAGTATTTCTATCTCTATTTCTATTCTAGTGGGGCTTAAGCCCTTTCTCCAAGCACAGAATAGCCAAACCTATAAAAAATTAGGAGTTAATGTCAAATCAAATCAACAGATTTATTCAAGGGAATAAAAACATTCCATGAATTACATTAATTAGGATGCCAGTAGTACAAGGATTAAGCAGTTGGTTTTGATTTCACTCAACTTTAATTTGCAAGAAAAAAATTAATTAGCATATCTCCTAAGCTCCTGTTTTAGAAAATATTTCATTTAACCCTTGCTGAGATTTATGTTAAGATTTATTCATTGCTGTTGATCTTCTTCATTTGTCTTTCATATAGGGAACAAATTTAGAGAAGTATAGCTCTTCCCCCCCCCCCTTAAAAAAATGATTAGGAACTCCCTAACTGAAATTACACTCCATATACTTCTCTATGACATTTCAGGGGAGAGAATGCATCTTTCATTATGCTGATATTTTACTGCATACATCATTGGCTATGTCGACTGGCAAGTCCACTTAGGTCAGGCTTCAGCTTTCTCAGCCTCCAACTTTCATTTGTAAAATGTGGTGATAATAGTACTATTTCTTACAGCAGCCATTCTGAACCTGACATATTTGTCAATGGAATGGAATACTCTTCTCATCACCTCTAGCTATCATGAGGTGATGGCAAGTCTAATCTATGACTGTTACCGTTAAGAAGTTACTAACCAGAATGCCTTGTGTTATTAAAATGCATGGCAATAGTTTAGAGCACTGAAGAAAAATTTCTAAGAAATCCAGCTTAAAATCAGGAGGCCCATTCTAACAGTCAAATGAACCATTAGAAAAAGACAAAAAAATGTGTTTACATGTGACTGCACTGTGCAAACTCTTGCTCTGAATCAATTTCAAGTTGACATTGGTATCAACGAAGACTCACTTATCATTCAGTTGTGCTTTGTAGATGGCATCCAGTTTTTAAAATTCCTAATTGGCTTATATGCAAAGAGAAGCTGAGTGAATATAGTATTCACATTTATTTTTCAAACCAGTGCTGATTTTTTTTTTTTTTTTTTTTGTGCCTTCAAATCTGTGTTGTCTCCTGGCAATTGCTTGGACAGGTCCCTGCAGTTTTCTTGGCAATGTTTCAGAAATGTTTTGCCTGCTTCCTAGGGCTGAGAAAGAGGGACTGGCCCAAAGTCATCCAGTTGGCTTGGTGCCTAAGGTAGGACTAGAACTCACATTCTCCTGGTGCCTTAACCAATATACCACACTGGCTCTCAAATTGTAATTTTGTCTAGTTCAATTTAACAAAAGGTCCTAAAGCTTAGTTGTATCAGGCCTTAGGCCTCCCAACTATTCAACAGTAGCTTCCCTACAGTTACTTTTGCAAACGTTTTTGACTGATTAGTTCTAAAATGATGTTATCTTTCTTTGGAATACAATCTGAGAGGTTATTTCAGCCTGGATTATCCCGTTCAAGAGGGCCCACTGATACATATTAAACTGTGGAAAGCATCCAAATTGCAAGTTTAGTTTGTGACCTATTAATGTACTTTGAATTTGATTTTGAATATATGCATGATTTCCAGTTCCTCCATGCCACCGTGAGTTGAAAATGTGTCAAACCCAACATAAGAAAAATGTCCAGCTGGCAAATACAGGTGACTTTCCTCCCCACTTTCCCTAGAGCTTTTTATCAAACCCCTCAAACCCCCCCGCCCCCCAACTTTTCTGAATCTGCAGGTTTACAGCTATGTGTTCACTGAATCACTGAACTGGCTCATTCTTGTAACAGAACAAACTGTACAACATTGAGAAAGGAGCTGGCAGGGTTTTAACAAAAGATTCTCTTTCTACTTCTGGCAATATTTCTAGAGCCAAGATACAAAAAGTCAAGGGAGGTCAAGTCAAGCAACAGGTATAAACTTCACAAAGGAAGTGAGTAGAGGTAAATGACAGACCCCAATTTGTTTTTTGAAGAATAAGGCAGAAAGGAAAATCTATCATTTGTGGACTTGATGCTTCCTGGTTTGTGAATGGTAAGTATGGGGTAGAAACCACAGTTTCCCTCAAGAATTGGCCAGAATGGGAAAAAAATCATTTCTGCCAAGAAAACAACATGGTCAGATTGAGGTAGTCACAAAGACTTCACATTTTTACAGTTTTGACAGGATGGATTCTGATCTCCAGTGGGATCAGAAAATTCATTCTTGCTAATGTGCTGTCATAACCTTCCTGGGATTTAATAAATTGTCAGTAATTTCAGTCCTTCCTAACCTGGAGTCTCCAAATATTATGGGATTACAACCTTCACGTTCCTCAGGAAGCTTGGAGAGAACCAAATTAGGAAAAGCTGGGTTCTTCTCTGTTACTATCAGCAAGAATAGACTATGAAGTGCCAATGTTTATAAGAAAGATACTTAACTTTTATTTACTGAAACCTAAGGGAAAGAAAGATGATCAGGACTTGGCTATTTTTCTTCAGCATGTGAAACTCAGAAGGTATCACTTGGATGTCTTAGTCATTAGCTTCCTAATTTGTTCAAGGTCTTAAAAAGTAGTCTTTTCCCAATTTTTTTATTTTTCTGACTCCCCCCTTGCATCCCTCTTATGATAGAATGCATTTAAATGGAAGTCTCCAAATGCTAAAAGACACCCAGAAGATGCACCTCAATAGATAAATGTGCAAGTCAGCAGGCTGGAAAAGAATCAGAACTTGCTCATCTAAGGTACTATTGCTCAAAGGGCAATTTACAGTTCTCTTAACTAAACTCAACAATGAATCCATATGGAGTCTGGCTGTATATTAATAAAGAAAATAAGAAATAGCTAAACAACAAACTTACCAAGTTCTTCACTTCTTGTATTGCTACTATCACTTTCCACGCTAGCATCAATGGCTGGTTCACATATTGTGCTATACCATGGTTCACTGAATAAGCCAAAGCTGGCTGGGTTCACAAAACTTATTAGACAAGCAACAATAAAAGATAACATAATAGCAATATAGGGTTGCCAACAAGGGACAGTTTGTCAGGGGAAGGCAGATATGCCCAAGCATTTGAGCTATCTTAATTGGGGTATATCTTTTTTAAAAGGCAGAAAGTCTGACTCCCCACTTGGAGCTCATTTAATTTTTGCTGAAAAAATATAAAGGAAATGGATGCTTATTAATTTTAAGCAAGAAGTTATTTTAATTTAACATTTTATTTTAAGGGTTTGGTAAAGTCTCCTTAAAGTTAAATTCAGTCATTGATGACTATATGGACACATATGTATAATTTTCTTGGAAACAATAGAGAAGTAATTTGCTTTTGGCAGGTCAATGAAAGTTAAACTAATGGTACCAACTTGTTTAACAAAGGTTTGCTACACCTCTAAAGTTTTTTAAAAATCCCTTCAAAAGAGAAAAAAGGGCTAAAAACCTTCCACGTCCTAATCACATTACTGTTCCACTCTACTGCAGCTAAGTTACCCATTCCTATCTCAAATTGTAACAAGAATGATGACAGAATCTTGGGCTCAGAATAATACACATGGCGTACTGAAGTATGTAATTAGCATTTCAAGGTAATGAATGAATGCAGCAAATTTTCTCTAGAACAGTGTCTCTCAGCCTTGGCAACTTTAAGATCTGTTAAAGTTCACACATCTTAAAATTGCTGAGGTTGAGAAATACCAGTCTATCCCAAGTGACAGCAGCCAGGTGCCCTACCATTTCAGTCCTATTTACTCTTGGTCTACAATGGAGTTAAGATTCCCCTGGGTCCCCTGAGTATCTGCTGCTCTTTGGTTTTAACTGCTACTTTTGATTCGCCATGGTCTTTATTAAGTCTTGTGATTTAAGGCTTTTCACATACCATCTTGGTTTTATTTTTAAAATATGCTTTAAATCATTGAAATAAAGTATACAGACAATGAAAAGCTTATGGGTTAAGAATAAACGACGATCCCTTCCAAACCAGAAAGCAGCAAGGATGCAGCATCTTATTATCCAGAAATATTTTTTATTTAGTTCGGTGCAATTTTCTCTCAGATGAATATGTGCAGGAGTGTAGTGTCAGTGTTAAAACACTTGCTGATGTTAGAAGAAAAGCCATTCTTAAGAATTATGTTGGACTTCACCAGGAAGATAAGCCTAAACTTGTGGCTGCACCACTGACAAAGCCCTTTGAAGCTGCTTTCACGCTAGTTCGGTTTTAAAAGGAGAGGAAGAGCTAACTGTGCTCAGGAGAACAGAAAAACAGATGTCACCTACTTAAATGTACCTTCCCGCCATGTCATGACTAAATTGACATCAGGAATATCAGTGTAATAATGTTTCAACCAGTTAACTAAGAGCAGGAGAAAATGGAGAAATAGAGCAACTTCTCCAATGATCAATTTTTAAATATATATGTATAATGAAATATAACCACATTTTAAAAATACACAAATAAAAGTTGAAATACTTTATAATAATTATGTGTGGTAGACATGTTTATATCACAAAGTTATAATGATCATATTAAGGATGAGAACAGAGCATCAAATTAAAAAAAAACAGTAACAAGAAAAATGTGATACCTGAAATATCAATGATTCCTCAGTCTAATGCTTTTCAAATTCCCTTTTTTCCTTTTAGGCATCGTAAGATATTTCATATCTTGTCAGTTGCATTCCAAATTCAGCCCTGAAAACATTAAGAAATTTCATGTTGATAAAGAAATTACTATTACTAATTCAAAAGCAAGTAATACTTTCTTTATTTTTATTTAAAGTTAAAATAAAGCACCAGGGTTTGCTGTATGTGTTTGAAATCAATAATTGTCAATTTAATATTCATTTGGTTTTTTTGACAACTGTTTCATGTATTTCTGTATCAGTTTTTTTAAAAATGGCATAATCAGTACAAAGACTCAAACATTTCTCCACAGAATCATATTTGTATTAATCATTTTTATACCATGCATTTTGATGCAAGTTTTCTTTGAATGTACTTTTCTACTGCATGTACTTAATATACACCTTTCCCTGAAATATATATAGAGAGAGAGTGTGTGTGTGTGTGTGTGTGTGTGTGTGTGTATTATACACATATTTTTTGCTCTGAAAACCTCATCTTAAAATTCAGAAAGGTCAGAATACCAAAAGTTATTTATATTTTAGTTCACGCACTGAGACAGTAATAGTTAGATAAATCCAAACTGAAATGCGAACCAAATTATTTTCTCTCCGATTCCTATTTGGAATCAGGCACACCCTTGGCACTAGCATTTTACGGCTCCTTGAAGAACTCATCTACAGGACATTTTGAAGCACACAAATAAATTTTCTAGAAATATAACAGAGCATTTCTTTCTGGACTGGGAGTTCATGAGGGGAGAGAAAAGAACCATCAGAGTAAAGAAAAGCTTGATTCAAACATAAAGATAAGTTTACAATAGGCTAGTAATCCAGTAATGCACTTATCTTTTTTCTCTTTTTCTTTTTTCTTTTTCTTTTTCTTTTTCTTTCTTTCTCTTTCCTTCCTTCCTTCCTTCCTTCCTTCCTTCCTTCCTCTCTC